TAAAACTAGAATCTACCTTCACAAAATTATCCGGAAATACGCCTTCTTTTCCATTTAAAGTACCAATGAACCAACCCTCTTCAAATTGGGATACATTTGTAATAATATCCCCTTGTTTAATTGTAAGTTCATCTCGCTCTTCGGCCTTATAGTCGTATTCTACACGTACTTCCATAAAGAAGACACGAAATCCATAAAAAAAACCGTCTCCCACCGATTAGTTGACACGAAGTAAGGCGACTGGCCGACAGAATTTCGACGATGCGATTGGCTAATTGAAAACTGCGTAGTCTGTCAGTATGTTGGGCGTTAAGTTGCTGTCGTTACAGAGGTTTCCACTACGACAGATGCAGTTACTGGTAATACGCACCTTTAGCAAGTGGCTCACAGGATAAATTATTTCTTTTTTCGGTGGCGGACTTTAGCTATTAAAAGATAACATGTGGTTCATTATATAGTCGGTGTACAAACCAATAATAGTCGGATATGTTTTCCGCCCTCACTCCTAGCATTCGACAACGCTAACAGAATATGGCGATAAATTGTAAAACTCGGTTATATCCAGTTAATATAATCTATTATGAAAATACAATAACTTACCGATCTGAATGCGTTCAGGCGTGGCACTCCTGGAGAAAGTTCAACGAGGGCCGACAAAAATAGTTAGCGACTTAGAGTGTCTACGATATAAAGTTCATCTAGAAAGACCCAAACTTTTTCGCCTCTCTTAAAGGCAGTAGAGGGGGGTTGTGTTGATTGTCTTCCAACCCTCTAGATGAGTAGACTGTGCTTTTCAGATGTTTGGTTCTTCTGGATTGGCAAAAACGTCTAATCTAAGACTCCACCATTAGAAACTGACGAAAAATTACACGAAAGTTAAAAAGCGGGCCAACAATTTTTCCATCGACTGAATGAAAACCAGAACAAGGAATAATCTTTAATTATTTTTGTAGAAAGCGTTGAGACATTTAAAAGAAGACTCCTTGCCAACTGAGGCGACAGGGGAATACGGGGGTGTCCGGGGAAATCCGGGGAATATGGAGATTAAGAATTTTGACTGACGAAGTATATTTACAATACACATTTTTCTTCGAAACTTAGCTTTTTTGTCAATAAATTATTAATAACCTTACAGCCTTCGCAATTTTCACTGCAGGCTGCCAACAGCGCCATTGTAAACACGTACGGTTAATGGTCCCTCACTTTGGACCTCGGATTTCGTCGTCGGTTCCGATGGGTTTTCATTTAGGCTGACGTTCAGTCGCTTATTATTGGAGCTGACTTTCTGTCGCACTTTGGACTCCTTGTTGATTTGAAGCATCGGAAACTTATTGATTCCACCACAAAACTTATTACTGACGGAATTGCAGTACATGAACCTTCAGTCTGGATACACTTGGTCGTGCGAAGCCCGCCGACTTCTGACATTTTGAAGAACTTTTGGTCCCTCGTT